TACTTCTTTAATTAACTTTGGACTAAGTAGTGGAAAAGCTTTATTAATGGACTTGAGAATGAGTGCACAGGAGTGAATTATATGAACGTGTGTGAGACAATTGCCCGCATACACACATAATTTCCTTTGTTTTATATTTATTGTTGAAGTGGGTGGAATGAATCATCTCCGAGAGAATGGCATAGTGCACCGTGATATCAAGCCAGGCAATATCATGCGTGTCATAGGGGAAGATGGACAGTCTGTGTATAAACTCACAGATTTTGGTGCAGCTAGAGAATTAGAAGATGATGAACAGTTTGTTTCTCTGTATGGCACAGAAGAATATTTGGTAAGTCATTCATCTTTATTTAAAGAAGCTGGATATATTGCAAATACAACTGGACAATGGGTCAACCAATTCACTATCCATAAAATGTCTTACATAATTTCTATGACAAAAATTAAATTTTCTATTATAATGAATATCATTTATTAACAAGGACATTAGATAGTAATTTCTAAGAGTTTTATTTTTTTCCTATTAAAAATTTGATAGCACTCTTAAGTCTCTTAATTTTGTTAATACTATTTATCTGTATTAAAGGAAAACTCTCTGTGCACTCAAGGAGTATACTAACTAGTAAAGCCTCCTTTTTTTTTTGGATCACAGTAGTTAATATATTTATAAGCTTGTTACAGTATTCCTTAGAGCAAAATAGTGAAACAGAAGATCTATTCAATGGGGGATTTGCTATTGAAATACCAAAAGGACCATTGTTAGAAACACACAAAAATAATGAAATGCCTCTAGATCTGAAAAGATCTAATTTGAAATGCTAGAAAGTTCTGTGGTGAAAAATTTCCAGGTTTACATCAGTGTTTTGTTGTACCTTCTTTTTAATTTTTTGTTTTGATTAAGGTGAAAGTGTATAGAGCAAATTGGTTTTCCGTTCAACAGCTCATACACTTTGTTTTGTGACATTGAAAGCAGTCTCCACAATGTAACAGCACTCTTCTCAGCTTCTCCCTGGGTTACCATTTCCCTTTGTTCTTCTTACCTGTCAATTCTGCCTTCTGAACTTTATACATGGGCAAATGCTGCCCTTTTGATCTTGATCTCGCTCTCTTTTTTTTTTTTTTTTGTAATTC